AAGGCAGCACTTCCCAATAGGTAGATAGAGCAGACAGATGTGACAAGCAGGTTCAAACCCAGGGCCTCATTCTTTACGAGAGACATAGGCAAGGTTGGGGTATCTTGGCTCCCGGATGTCCACACCACCTTACCTTCATCGGGAAGAGTTTCTGCATACACTGACTCCTAAGATACTGTCTGAATAAAGTATATTGTTACTTTAACAAAGAGTATGCAGAGCATGCTGTCACATGCTTGTGATTCCAGTACCAAGTAACCTGAGGAATGGAGAGTACAAGTTTGATGCCAATCTGGGCTACATAGTGAGATCTTGTTTCAAAAAATTAGTTAACTAATAGTTGAAAAAAACAATCATTGATCTGATCATTGATATAATGAAATTAAACACAGGGTTAAAAAGTGGCCTTCATTGCTGAAGGGTTGTGGACTATTGCTTCTTGGTGGCACCCCGAGGTTCCAGATATTATTATATTTATATTTGATTTTATTCACGACTTCACTTTTACCTCTCTGGCTACCTAAGTCAGAACTCTAATTTTCCTGCTCCTTTCTGACTTGGACCTGGCCATGAAGAAATTCTCTGACTTACTCTCATCTGGTAACAGGTCATAAGACCTTTCTCATTCTGTGGGTTTCTACTCCAAACCCTGGAGGGAAGAGTGCTTCACAGAGAGGCCCAGAAAAATGCTGGACTGGACCCTGGCTTTCCCCACTCAATCTGTCAGCCTTAGGCCAGACCCTTTTTGTCCCACCACATTTACATACAGATAGCGATGCTTCAGTCATACCTACCAATAAAGTCTCCACAGCAATCCAAAAGGTTAGGATTTGGAATTTCCAGATTGTTGAGAGTGGGGGAGGGGGCTTCTGGAGGGTGGCATTCCAGAGAGGGCATGGCAGGTCCATGCTTTTTCCCATCTTCGTCCATGTCCTTTGCAATATGTCATAAACAGAAGCATTTCCCTAAGTCCTAAGTCACTCTACCAGATTCTTGGTCTAGAGATAACTGATCAGAAACACCAGTGAAATTGCCTTGGACTGTGACTGGTCTCAGAGGAGGCAAGTGGCCTTGAGGCTTTGAGGACTGTGCCTTCAACAGTGGGGTCTGGTGTTATTTGAGTGTCAGAACCCAGTGGGGATAAAGGACACTCAGCTGGTGTCTGAAGCAGAACTTCCTGCATGCTTGTTCCTGAGGAGACATCCTTATACCTTCTGTGTTGATGGTGATGCCAGAGTAGACGGAAAAAGAACATTTTGTTCTGCTTTGTGACCATGGGAAAGTGGCACAAAGTTTCTGGTCCTTAGTTTCTGATAATATGGAAGTCAGTCATACGGTCATTGCAAATATCACCTCATCATGATGCTCTTAGAATTAAATAAGGTGAGTCTGTGAAAATGCTTTGTCAGCTCTAAGCTGTGATAGGCACAGTTGTTTCCAGTTTTAACGTGGAAGATGTAGACTGAATGAAAAATTAAAATGAATTTATTTACCAGACAGAAAATGAGAGGTGTTACTGCAAAGGATTGGTATGTAGGGGTGTTTTAGGAAAGCTAATTTGGCACTGGAGAAATGGAGAAGGAGAAAGAACGGAGAAGAGGAACTAACTTGGAGACCAGTACCCTGGTCCAGGCAAGATCAGCCTGGATCCTGAGATCAAGGGGATGACCAGGAAGAGAAGGAAACAAGGAAAATATTCAGTATTGTTTCTTTCATATATAGCTCACTATTCACAGGAAGAATTTGAGCTTTGATATGAATTTGGGTTTCTCTTTGCGGAGGAGAGGATACCCTACGCACAAGGGAAAGTGTCAGACGCGGTGAGGCCAGCTCAGAGATGGGACTATGAGGAAGCAAGCTGTGATACTGAACAGTGCAGCAGACTACACTTTTGAACCTTCCCCAACCTAGTCTCCTTTGAAGGCTGAGTGTCCTAGATCTAGAGGGTTGATCGTTAAAACAAAGCAAAACAAACAAACAAACAAACACACCCAATAGTTGGCGCCCGAATACTACCTGCTCTCCAGAGTGAAAATATGTATTTCCTTGTAGTTCAGAGAAATGTGATGAAAGACGAGGAAAGCAGCTTCGTGGGAAAGCACAAATGCCCAGAAGGTGGTGTCTGTTAAAACTGGGTTGGTACCCACCAAATCAACCTCATGATGTTTTACCAGAGGAAATGCCAACCCGAGCATTGTGGGTGCAAGATGAATGGCAGGTGGCACATTTCCCTTTTATGCTTTGGAAACACATAAGAGGTCCAGGATCATGGATTTAAAGATGAACTCACAAGCTGGGAGGTCCTGGGAGCCATTTGGTAACACAAACTTATGTGGTTTCAGGGGAAAACGAGCTTAGAAACAAGATGATTCTAGGGTGGGGTGTAAGGCCCCCGAGAGAGGAGCAAGGAACTGGGTCGACGGCGGAGGTAAAGGCATGGCTGGGCGCCTCTCCAATCTCATTTTTTCCCATCTTACTGACTGGACCTGATTTTACTCCAGGTAGAAATATACTCTGCAAAAAAGAACAAGCATCTCCTAGCTTTTGTCAAATCTAGTGGACAGCAAGATCCCAGTAGACATTGCTTTGCATGGGACCTTCATAAATATTTCCAAATGGGGTGTACATCCTTTAGTCATTTTCTTTCCTCCTTAATTGGGATGAGGAAATACTGGCCAAATCCATCCCCAAAGAGGAGATACCTAGTCCATTTGAATGACAGCAGCTATGAAGAGATCAGAAGGAGGGGCGATTTTTTTTTTTCTGTTGAGTGGTGGAGGGTCACACCACCTCATGAGCAAGGATGCCATTCTAAGCTAGCTGAAGCCGTACTTCCTGGTTCCTAGACTGCACCCGTTATATCCTTCTGTCCTCCTTTTCTCTGAAGTGGCCCCTTCAAAGTAGTTTTGCAGCCTAGCGTCCATGATGCTTGTGTGAACAACTCACAGGATTTCTCAGCACTGTGAACTGCTGAAGAAAACTGACTGAGGGCCATGGCGACATGTAATGGGAGCAGCAGGGTGGTTCCAGTACCAGGTTCAGAAGAGGCATCTAAACGCTGACTAAGCATGGAATCCTCCTAACCCACCCTGACCGTACGTACAGCTTGGTTGCATCTGTCAGCCACGAAGGAAGCATGCACACACAGGACAGATGTGTCCAGATTCTAGAAAATGCCTCCAGTTCTCTGGGGTTTGCATGTGAAATCCCCATTCTCTAGCTGGAGTTTCTTGTGGACTGAGCTCTGAGATAAGAAGCTTGCCCAGAACACTGGATTCTTCCTCATTAGGCCAGCTGCCTCTTTTCTTCGCTCTCCCACTTGCCAGAAGGGAGACGGAAAACCCATCTCTTGTTGCAATTTCTGCTTCCAACAAGATTCTGTGACCTTGGAAAGAGCACGGGTTTCAAATGCTTGTCTGAGCCAATAAGACTCCGAGCAGGCGCAGTGCTCTTCTGGTCAGGCCCCTGGGTACACTACAAGGATAGGAGACCAGAAAACCACACCTATTCTGCCAGAGAAGAAATGATACTGGCTGTGTGTGGTGGTGGGGCAGGGGGCGGGGAGGGCACAGATATTTAATTTCCAGATGCTTCCTCACTTTTTTGTTGTTCGCTCAGATGGGATGAGCAGTGACCAGGTCTGAAGGGCCACAAAGAGGCCAGCACTTCTGAACCTAGTCCCAGGGAGAGCAGATTTTGTGCGCATATGGGAGGAAGCAGGAGCTAGTCTTCCTGTGCCCAGGCAGGCAGAGGGGACAGACGGCTCTCTACCTTGGGCAAACTTCTCTCCACTCCGGCAGGGCACAATCCCTCTTTTACCTCTGCTTCCTCCCCCCTGCCCCGTGGGAGTGGAGTGAACAGGTGCTCACACACCGGCTTGGAAGGGCCGTTCATCACCAGCGAGTCCCGCGCCAGCAGCTGCTCAGCGGGTTCCCGGCTTGCAGGCGGCTGCAGCGCGCACCCAAGGCCCTGGGCTTCCAGCAGAGGGATGGCAGGGACAGGGCGACACGGTTGTCTGGAGACTGGGGCCCGGCCTATAGCCTGCACCACCTTCGTCCCACCAGCCGCGCGGGACTAGCAGGAGCAGGACAGGGTTAGCTCTGAGCAGCACCTGGGCGGGCTAGAACTGCGGCCCAGCCTCCGTGTCCCCCTTGTGGCAGACCGGTCACATGGAGATGTCACCCTTTTTCCACCTCCGCAAACTGGTGGGTTGCAGGGTGTGTCCCCGGGACAGGGCTGCGGTGCCCGCTAGGTGGGCGCGGCCCCAGGCTTCAGGGCGCCCACTGTGGGCGGGACCCCGGCAGCGCAGCCTGAGCCCGGGAGGCCACCGAGTCAGCGGGAGGTCACCTGCGTCCCCCCAGCACTGCCCCACAAGCCGGGCTGGGCCTGCGCTAGCTCAGGCGGTGCCCGTGGAGTCCCGCGCTGCGGCACACGTGTCCCGTTGCCCTCCCCAGACCACGCAGATAACCAGTTACCGCACCCTGGGAAGCAGACCTGCCCCAGACGGCATCTTGGAGGAGGTCACGACTACCTTGTCTTTTATTCCAGGAGCAAGCAGCTAAGCCCTGTTTTAAGAGGCTAGCTCTCCAGGCATATTAAACTAAGTTTTTGCTTGCCTTTTGTTAGGAAACTTTTAATCACACAGAATTTAGGTTCTAATCGGCCAGGCGTTTAACTGGCCCAGAGAAAAAGCTTCCGTGTTTAACACTGGCTCTGGGGGCTGCTGGAAAACTGCCACCGAATTTAGGCTGGAGTTGAAGGTTAGCAGGATTTACCATTGTTTCCCCAGGGTATTTAACCCTCACGGGCGCCTTTTCTTTCATTTAAGATACTTTCAAAAGAAAATTCTCGAGAACGCTTTGGCTATTTGTTTTGTTTTGTTTTTAAAAGAAATTTGTTTGAGCCTTTTAATCCAGAAATATTTCTAAAATGGGGAGGAGGGGGCATTGGAGACTGACAGCAGCTGTGTGTCAGGAAATAATAAGTATCATGCAAAAATATCACGGCTAATAGATATCCTTTATAAGTGGAAATATCTATGTTTAATTGCTTTTAAACTGTAGGGTGGAAAACACAATTATACACCATAACAAACCTGTACAGAAAAATCCTGAACAATACAAAACAAGTGCTAATATTTTTTCTTCATGATTGAAATAATTGTCCCCAAATTATGATGCTGATAACCTCCCCCAAACACTGTGTTTCCTCCTCTGCAAATGCTTGAAGAGGAATAGTTCCTTAATAAACAGAAAATTGCATAGCTTTTAATATTGTTGTATATCCTCAAATGCATCTTTTAATTTCATGGTTAGCTCTTGATACTTTAAAAACTCAATTTTCAGAGATACATATATGAGTCCTAGTAATTATAAACACATTTTACTCATCTGATTTTTATAACATGCATTTTCATAATTACTGTACAACTGAAATAGACATTGAGTTATGCTGTGTGCATGTCTTTATTCAGCAATATATTCTTAGACACCTTGTTCAAACAAATTAAGCGAATTTAAAAGAAACTAGAACAGGAAAGGAAAATCCTGCCAGTAGAGAGAGAATCACAGTGCGATACAGACAAAGGGGAAGGAAAAGAAGCTCTCGTACGAAAAGAGATTTATTATGACATAGAAAATGTTCACAATCGTTGAAACACACTTCAGAAACTAGTAAACACCTTAGATAGAGTTGTGCCAATTACTCAGCCCGCAAGCATCTGCTTTGTCTTAATTAGAGTGGGAGGTGAATGACCACTGTTTATTTTCATTTTCCTCATTAATTATGAAAAACTGCATTTAATTCATCTTGCATAGTGAGAGATTGGCTGCGCAGATGTAAGTCATAAGGGAAGTGGCTGTCGGTGGGCAACCTGAACATGGCACCCTGCCCAAGGGGACCCCTGGGTGGCACTGCACAGTAATGCATGCCGTAATTGTAATTTTTGCCATAGTCCAAGGTTTCTTCTTGCTTCAGGGAAAATATCCCATTATAGTTAATTGGGGGAGGACTTAGGGGACCTTCAAACTGAGGGCTGGCACACTCAGGGGAAGTACTTTCATAGAAGGATTCATACGCACTGCAGTAATTGTAGGGTTTCATGGACTTGGGATTATCAAGAGTCCCATGCCCTGGGGGGGTGGCCAGCTCAGGGCTGTGGTAGGGTGGGTAGAATGTGGAGTAGGGTGACCTGGTGTGGTGTGCAGCCTCCCCACCCTGACCCATCAGGAAGCTCCTGGCGTTGAGCTGTAAGCAGCCTGCTACCAAGTTTGTAGTTGGCTGAGAAAGACCTTTGCATAAGTTTTGGACGAACGTGAGCAGATCTGGTCTCTTGCCAATCCTCAGAATTTCAGAAAGTGCCCAGATGTAGTTTTTGGCGAGCCGTAAAGTTTCTATTTTGGACAGTTTTTGGGTTTTGGAGTAACAGGGGACCACTTTCCGCAAATTGTCCAAAGCGTCGTTGAGGCCGTGCATCCGGTTCCTCTCGCGCGCATTGGCTTCCTGTCTCCTGAACTTGACCCTTTCCAGTCGTAGTTTGGTGGTCTTTTTTTTCCTGAGACCCCTCCTTCTGGGCAAGCCATTTTCGTCTTCTTCTTCTCTATCTTCCTCCTCCTCCTCTTTCTCGGTTTCTTCTCCAGGGGCCCGTTTAATGCTCTTTCCTCGAAGGACAACTTGTTTTGGAAAGCTCTCTGGTTTCTTCATTTGTTTCTGGTCCTCGCATTGTCTAGCAAACTTTCTGCACATCTGGGATTCGGGCATTATGACAGACTCGTCAAACGGTAGTGTTAACATGGTTCCTTAACCTTAAATTACCTGGAAAAAATGCCAGCACAATATTTAAAGTGTTTTCATTTTTAGAGTTGATATACTTCAAATATATTTGATGACTTAATCATAAGGCTATGAGAGCACATGAAAAAGACTGATTCCAGGACTCATATTTACATTAAATAAAAAAGTTGAGTTTGTGGAGATTAACAATCATAAAAGCATTGATCCATGCAGTAGCATAAATTTATACAGGCAAATTATCAAAAGAAAATATAAAAGGAAATACTTATTAGAAATCACCACATTTCCTATTTCTCTTGGATTTTAAACTGGGTTTTTAACATACACGAAGTGGAGTTCAAGCAAATAAAAGCATGGTATAATAATGGAGACTTTCATTAATTCTAATTCCCCTGAGAACAAAATTGAAGAGAAACCAATTTTTAAAACGAAAAGTGCTACCTCTCTTAATCTGACAAATTTGAGGGGTTTTGTCAGGAAAAAATTAAACCCTAACTTTATTTCCTGCTAACCTCATGCTAGAAATTTCGATAAGTGACTGCAGAACACACAAATTTAAAGAAAAGATCAATTAGATCAATTTTAAAATTGAATTTTTTTCTTGATGAGTAAAGAACTATGTAAAAAGAGTACTGCTTTCTCAGTCTCAAGGAAAGGGGAAATAGGCTAATCTGAAAAGAAAACTGTAAACAAATGAAAAAGCCCACAAACATTACTGGCAATTTTTTTTTTTTAATCAAAGCAAATGTTGTGACTGCTTTAACATCTAAGAATTCCCCCAATGTAATTGTCTGTTTACTGCTGTTCCGCTCGCAGTGTTTTGTTCTAAGAGCTACGGAAGTCTCCCTCTAGCTAATATCGGACAGGAACGGTCCAAGGATTCTGCCTGCAATTGTGCACGTGTGTTCAGAATCCCAAATGAAAGGGGAAAATAATTTGTGTTTAAAATGCAATTTTGGTTTTTGTTGGGTGAAACAGCAAATATTTTCATCTAAAGTCTTCAACCAAATAGGCATATTAAAACAGAGACTTTTAATTTAACAATCTCCAGCCTTTCTCTCTTTCTCTCTCTCTCTCTCTCTACACACACACACACACACACACACACACACACACACACACACACACAATGTCCACACATTCACAATGTTATATAATAGCAGTGAAAGTATGTGATAATTACATCATAAGAATGAAATATGATAAGAACTTATAGATGGCAAAGAACATAGAAATACTCTAAGACAGTGATACTGTATCTTTAAATACTTGCATGCAAAGCCAGCATCAATTGAGTATATCTTTATTTATATTACCTTAGGTTTTAATTTCATTCAATAATCAGTTTTCATTTTGGATCTTCCAAATCTTTTCAGGCTGAGTGTCGCATCGTCTCCTGGAGCCTCTAGATCTGTGTGTATCTGCACTATCTCATTGATCTCTAAAAAGTGACATTGATGCCAACTGCCAGAGCTGGTACCCATGCCATCTGCTAGTGACGTCACAGGGCAGAGAGAGCCATGTGATCCTCTCTTGGGACCTTCATTCTGCACTGATCATCTGGCATCCCTGTAAGTGGGTACCAGCATTCATGCATCAACACAGGAGGTTAGACTGATAGGGAAAAAATCTGCACCAGCCTTTCCCATACAGTAGGTGCATTTCTCTTCGAGCTGCTCGGGTCTAACTGGCAATCTGTAGAAAGAGCTGTGTTAGTGATGGGTTTCGCCCTGCCAATGGTGCAACTGTTAGGGAGTCGTTAATATTCCATTCATTCGCAAGGTGGGCTTTTGTGTGAGTGAGAGAGGTTTTTGTTGTTTGTGGGGTTGTCGTTTTGTAAAGATCACCAGCTCCACCTCGGTGCATCTGGGTTCCAGGGGAGGAGAGCCTTGTATGGGAGCTGGAAGCTGGGCTTGGATGCTGAATGAAATCAAGATTAGGGTTGACAAACGGGTCAGCAAAGGGCTCCTTATTTCTCTGTTTTGCTTTATAGCATGTGACTTATGTGTCTGTGTGTTCTTCGACTCCAGACTTCTTTTCTTCTCGGGATTTCAGAATAAAAGGTCAGTTTCTTCATCTGAGGTCTGTGAAAGACGTCTTCAAATGCTCCCTCACACTTGCTGCTGTCTTTCCCACAACTTTTCAGAGAGAATTTACGCAGAAAGAACGATACACAGACCAATTGCACAGCCACAGTGAGTCTTTGGTTGGCTTTGAAGCTACGTGTTTGTGTCCACCGCTGAGCCACTGACTCTAGTCAGTTACCATCCCTGATCTCCTGGTGTGAACCTGCTTGTGCCTTATCAGTTCAGACAGGATAAACAGAAAAACAATCACTTAGGTTTGCAGCTTTTCTCTCTTTGACATGCAGCAGAACGGTTTTTTTTTTTAAATCCAAGATTCAGCTTTCTTGAACTTTCAATATTTTTTCTCTGTTCTACCAATTTCAACCTTGCAACGTTTCCTCTAGACCCACGTTCACTTCAATATCTTACTGTTTTAACATCTGTGTCCTGTTGTTTTTCCTTAGCAGGTATATTTCTCCCTTTCCTTCATTCCTCTTTCCTGGTGCCTTTTTAACGAAGCAGGACAGACGCAGTTAAGCAGAGCTGGCAAAGCCCTTCTAACAAAATAGGATGCAAAGCTAGAGGCCAAGCGTACTGTCCTCTCCTTTCTCTACTCCCCTGAGACCCTCCTTCCCAAGTGGACATATTATTTCAGGAATGCCCGTAAAAGGTAAAAAAAGTGAACTTTTTAAAAAGTGAAAAAATAAACAAATAAACAAAAGCCTTATTGTTTGACAGCTGAGTAATCTCCAGCTCTAAAGTGAAAGAGTATGCTTTTAGTCTTAGTATAATCCCTGGCAGCCTGGCACTGCTGAATCTGTGTTAGCATTCCCCTTATAAATCCTACCTTTGAAAGGTTTAGGATTCTGCTGCTTTTATGCACTTTGGATCCAAATTGGCACCCAGGGTCTTACCCAGATTCAATTGTGCTCCTCTTGAGCCCCTACTCATTTCCACTGCCTTTACAAAGTTTGCCTGGCATTCCCTGAACCATTCTGGAAAAGATGGCGTGTTGACAAAAAGAAAGATGCTAGGTTAAAGTGCATAGTTTGTCTCTCTTAAAGGGGGAATAAAAAAGTGTAAATTTAAAACAATAGTGAGCCTATTTAAAATAGGGAGGTGGGCCTAGCTCATATTTTAAAGTAAAACTTGTCACATCAGTAATTTTAGAATTTGCAGCTGAATACGTCTTTACTAATGATCATGCTGAATATATTTCATGTAGCTTTTGGTCCAAAATCTAAATATATTTTTGTATGAACACCAAGAATTTCAATAGAAGGGCCGGATGCAGAAGTCAGTTGTCCTCATGTGTGGTTTAAGTGAGTTTAAGTGAGAAGGTGGAAAAAGACCAGAGTCCTGAGCTACAAAGTAAATAGTGCTGTCTGAATCTCTCATGTTGCACCTGTTCTAAGTTCCCAGGAGCTACTTTGTATTAAATATGTCACAGTCACAAAAGTCAAAAGGCAGGGGCAACCTGATTTGATGTGTCCATAGAAAATTATCACCCATGTAGCAAAGGGAAGGACTGGTCCTATATTGTATCTTTCCATGTGCATAAGAAGAGAGAAAAGATTAATGAAACATTGGTGGCTGGTCTATTCCTGCCAGTAACATGAAAGAAAACCTTTGGTTGTGATGAGGTTGGGGACAAAGATTATTCAAGTATTTCGATTATCTATTCAATTTTGAAAGACTTAGTTTTTCTTTATTCTTAAAATAAAAAAAGAAAAAAGAAAAAAGAAAGAGGCCAGGATGGGCATTGAAAATTATCATGTGAAGATTTAGCAAGGATTTGGTGTGTTTATACAAAAACTTTTCAAGAAATTTTGTTATGCATTTCCTAGGGTAGTTCCAGGTATGCAAATGTCTGTGGTGTCTGTTAATATGCATTTGTACCATCTACCAGAGTGGCTGTTCTAATCTCTGCTGAGAAAGCATATTAACACCAAGACTCCAAACAGATTTACACACAGATCCTCAGAGCCTTGGCCAGGAAATTGTCACCCCTTCTATCATGGGTCCCACCCATCCCTCTATACAAAACTTTCCCTCTCTGAATTGATTCTATTCTACTTTAATGGATGTGATTATTTCGTTAACATTTTTTTTGTTTGTTTCTGAGATCATGAAATTTTACAAAAAAAAAAAAAAAATTAAAGTGTCCGATGTCTGTCAGTCACCATTTCTTGCTTTCACCAGGTAAGTGCTCATATATTAATTACAGAAATAAGCTGCAGAAAATTTACATATGATTTTGACTTGGGTTTTTTCAAGAGAATAAAAGTTGCATGTTCAGAAATGAAAGTCCGGGCTTTTATTTTTGGTTACCCTGTTGGTATCTCCGTCTTGTTTTAGCGTATGGGATATTTCTGTGCATCAATGGCAAAGGGCAGAGGGGCAGACTCTGTAGTGAAACCTCAGAACACAGTTCCTTCTGCAGATGAGGGTACTTCTGAGGAGCTTGATAATTTCTTTTTTGACTTTTTTTTTTTGGGGGGGGGGAGGCTCTTCGGCAAGTGCTCCAGGAAATCAAGAGACTACTTTTATGAGTAAGTTCAGTGTAGGTTTACTGAGCTTTAACTCTTCAATTCCACTGGGCTGACATGGTTTTATGGTGTGGCAGAGAGTATTTTCCACTTTGGAAAACAGCCCTCAAATTAAAGAAAGTCATTTAAATGATTAAGCAAGTCAGAAAGCATCCTTACTCCTCCTGATTCCTTTAAGGGCTTGAAATAAACTGGACGTAGGTGTGGCAATGTTTTGTTCACACCCCCATGAAGATTACTTAATAAATAGGCCTTTAGACTTCCCTAAGGTGAAGGCTGGACTGCAGGACATGTGGCCTACTAGTCTCACACATGCCCACACCCATCAGTCTTTTGCTGCAAGCTTTGTGCAAAGCAGTACTGGGTTCTTCCCAGAAGCACGTGTTAATCATTTTTCCCTACAGAGAGTACTTTTCACTTATTCTTCAAATACATGTGTGTTAGGGTCATTTTCTAATTTGTTATTAAATTAAAGCATCTAAAAGTATGGACTGGGGCCTTCTATGAACATAAGAAAATGGGTCTGAACAGGCTGATTCATTTTAATCCAGTCTAAACGAAAAGAATAAATACTTGATTAACTTGTTGGTGTTACTACAAAAAAGTCTAGTTTCCTTTCAGCTTTAAAAATTAGGAGAACTGATTTGTGGGACCCGATTTCTACTGTTTAGTGATACTGAACTAGCTGGTTTTTGTTATGTTTCAGTGTATGTAGTGTAATGGTTACTGAATGTGTGTGTGTGTGGGGGGGAAACCTGTGTGTTTGCAGGTGAATGTGTATACTAGAGGTCAGAGATTGAGATTGGGTGTGTTCCTCCATCAATCTCTGTCTTGCATTTGGAGAACGGTCTCTGTCACTGAGCCTGGACTTGACTGATTCAGCTGGAATGACTGTCACTGAGCCTGGACTTCACTGATTCAGCTTTAATGGCTGTCAGTGGGATCTGGGAACCTGACTGTCTCAAGCCCTCAGTCACAGAGCTGCAGGGGTCTGCTACCACACCCAGCTTTTCTGTGGGTGCTGAGAATCCAAACTTCCATACTCGTCCACCTCCCCAGCCCACAGTCAATGTTTTTACATATCGAAAACAGGAAACCATTATTTTTTTTCCCTGTAGTAGTGAGATTGGAGCAGGCACTTTAGAAAAGAGATGTTTTCAAAGCCTTTACAGAAGCAGCTCTTTATTTGAGAGCATGTGGCTTAAGCCAATCTGAGATTTGTGACGCTTTTTCCTGCTTCTGTCTCCATAAAGCCAGGACTGCAGGCAGGTGCCACTATATGGGTGCAAATTGTACTTTTATATTAATAATTTTTAATTAGGATACAAGGTGTTAGCTATCATTATGGTATTTCAGATCCTAGTGTATTCTGCTACCCACAACTCTCTCTTGCAACCTCTCCCAGTCTCTTTTTCTCTTCCATGTCCTCTGAGTCCTTTGACCCACCCCCTATCCTTCATCATCTCCTATTTTTGCTCTGTCTTGGTCTCCTCTATAGTTTTTATGTTTTATTCACTTTTATACACCTCCTCTCTATGTGTGCATACCTATACACATTACAGGTTAGGATCCACATGTGAGCAAGAACGTGTGGTTTTTGTCTTTCTGAGTTTGCATTATTTCCCTTAATTTTAAACTTTCAAGACAACCCATATTCCTATGGATTCCAGCTGAATAAAATTCTGTTGTGTGTATTATCACATTTTCATATATATTCATCTGTTGGTGGGCAACTAGTTGATACCATTTCCTTTCTAACTGCACTCTGACAATCACATCTCCTGTCATGACTGGCTGAGTGAGTACAGAAGTTGCTCAAACAGGGATTCCTGGATGGTGTTCAAGAGGTCCTCATGCCTCCTGCAGTGGGGTGACTATATGTACATGAGCACAGAAGCATGTTTCTGAAGGCAGTTTCCCACATCCAATTCTAAGAGGGTGGTAAATACACCTCAC